CGTACATTATTGCTTAAGTTCTATAACTGCTTGTTGCTCTTTACACAATTATTATATCGTTTTCTACCTCCCTACGAATCCCTGTGCATGCACTTTCTCTTTTCTATTATTACCTATAAATAGGGTTGCCATCTCTAAAATTTGGAAACCAGGGCAAGACGCGTGAAAACCCCGGATTTTAGAGTCCAGAACCCGGACATGTCAACAGGTTTTTTTAAACATAGTCAGTGTAACAAAAAACAGTTGAAAATGTCATAAATCACCCTTTTANAGGTAAAAATTGGTAAAAATCCATATATTTAAATGGACCTTGTTGGAGCATACGTAATCCTAAAATGTACCATCGTACTACAGATGGCGTTTACCGCTCCATTTCTGGTATTTTATTGTCTTAGTTTGTTTGGCTTTCATGTACATAGGTAGCTAACTCATCTATAAAAAATGAATTTGTGATTTTGAACTTTCGACATTTTTACCGGTTCTGTAGACGAAGGCGCACTAATAAAATTTGCATAAGTATATGAATTTATTCTGCAAGTAAGACAAGACTGGTATATACCTAATAGGTAACCAGAAAATGTTCAGGTCGTTTTGGTCGTATACTATAATTTAAAAACAAAATGCGATGCTAATAAAAATCTCACAGCATTCGAGATATTTCCTTGTCTAATTTTAAAAAACTGAATCTTAACTCGGTTGGGTATGCATATTTGTTAATATCACTGTCAGAACAGGCAAAATGGAAATTAGAATAATAAAACGAATGATTTATCGTTATAATCGTAAGGCCTTCAGCCTGAAGACTGGTTGATGAGCATCACGCACCTGCACTTGTTCCTGTCTTGACCCGTTGACAACATGCTCGAATTCTGCTTGAATGCATTTTTTTTTTGTTACGTATTAACCAGTAGGTATAATGTTATTCCTTTTTCTTTGTTAGTGTCCGCTGCAATTCCTACCTGACATCTCTTTTTTATGTTTACGATATTTTTTAACATGACATAAAGCTTAAAGCGGTCTTAACACTCTTCTTCTATCCCTACATCTTTGAGTATTTTTACTCTTTTCCCATTTAACATTGTTAAAAGCTTCCACAATCCTCATGAATATTATCTTTTTTTTTCTAATGATTTAAATATCATCTTAAAGGAATCGGTACGTTTTTTTTAATTTTCTTTGATTTGCTTATTTCTCTTCCTTAAGATCACTATTAAGTCTCATTTATTCGCTTGAATGAAAAATGTACAAGACACGCCTTCACATACTCTAACGCCAAACAAAATTTTTTGTAAATTGCCAATTTTGTCTCGGAACTGTTCAATTTGAAATTGTGTTTATAATTAGTCCATGTGATGCTTGGTAGCCTTCCGCCTTCTTAAGAAACAAATTTTTAAATTGCAAACAAAAAAGTCGTACGTACTCAATAACACCTCTTTGTAAAATTTAAATTGAATTAGAATTCAAAATGTTGTTTTTAAATTCGTAAGTGTCAGGTAAAGGTAAACAGTAAATGTACAGAAACAAATAACGAACTCAGCATTTTTTTTTTCCAGTAATAACGAGTAGGTAGATACTTTTTTCAGGAAGATTTATGTCCAGTAACAACATCGATATTCGGAAGGATGCATTAAGGATGTTTGGGAGGTACAATCGGTGACAAGAGTACATAAAATTAGAAATTCGTCGTTATACTAAAAAAAAAGTATACGGTTTGAGAAAAAATTTGGAATTTGACCAAAAAGTTTGAATAGAATAAGAAATAACGAATATGGAAAAATTTCAACTAACTTTTGGCAGTGAATATGCCTTGATTTCAAATTCGAAACAAAAAAATATTTAGTTTCAATCTTTATTAATAATGAGCGTAAAACTTTATTTTATGTTTAAATAATAATTAAAACTTTAAAATTGCATTTATTTCAGACAATTATAAATATTATCATTATATTATCAAGTAAAAACGAGATTTTCAGCTAATTTTTCATTTTTTCCTCGATAACCATTTAGTGAATTTGAATAACCTTACGCTAAAGTGATTCTCCAGAGTTCAAGTTACTTATTATAAAAGTTTGAAATTTCTGGTAGCTTTTTTTCTGTTAATAATATGTTCGGTCAACGAATCTCCATAAACTGCAAAATTACAATTTTTTAAAATTTCAATAACTTTTTAACGGTTTAGTGAATCGATTTGTAATTTTTACAGGAGTTTTAGAATTGAATGATGAACGTTCTTCCAATTTTTTTTTGTCTCGTAGCATTTTGACATACCTCCCAAACATCCTAATTTACTGTGCAATTTCTATATGCGGATTATTAAAATATTGCGTATGTATGTACGTATACACTTAGGTAAATCTGTACTATGTAGTAGTAGAGGTAACGTATCTCGATTCTTATTACGTATATTTCTGTTCCTATACGTATTAGTAGTATATGTGTGTGTGACTTGTCTGTAGTTAGGTTAAATGAGAATGTTGACCTTAACTGTCTCTACATAATAACGAATGTTTCTTGGAAAAAGTGTTACCTACATAGTTACGTGGTAAACGATCATCAGATATGCTAATGATTCAGTTCAATATGGACTCCGCATTATATCGTGCGCGCATTTCAAATGGACGATGAATATTTAAATTAATTGCCCCTATAGAATGGATACTCGCCATTGTACCATACAATACATGCTATATACACATACCACTTATATACCTACTTACCTATCCACTAGAGACCAGAATACCTACTCGAATATGCGGTTGCCCACTTTAATTCATTCGTATTGCGGATTCTTTTTTCTTATTTGTATTAAGCGCACGCAAATAAAAAACGCTTAAGACTTTTTGATTGAGAAGAAGTTAATGACGAAGGCCATTGATTTGTATGGGAAAGGAAGGGAGAGAAAAGGGAGTCCAGAAGTGTTTCGTGGTAATATTAATAAAATATTATTGAATGTAACAAAGTACAATAAGTATTTATATTTAAAGTACTTTTAGTATTAGTAGATGTCCACTAGATGGCGATAAACTTCTTGTATTTGGATAAGTATTTATTTGTTTCAAACTTAAAACAATTAGGTCAGTTCACTTAAAATGTTTAGTTAATACAAAGTAAGGGAAAGCGACCTGACGGGTGTCCTCAAAACAACTATTATAATATTGCAATTTCATGCTTAATCATAATTACAGTGATCAGTCAGTCCTAAGACTGATTAGACACGCACCTTCAATTCTTCCGTTTCTCTACCAATTTTCGCAATTCCCTAAAACTAGAACATCCCACATTCATTCATTTATAAATAAATAGTCATCTAATCCAGGTCTATCTCGATTCTTCTTAACTGTTGCTTTCTACTTCTAATCTGTCCGTAACTAGCCCTTCCTGCCTGGTAAGATGTCCTACCAACATATCTCATCTATTCTGCATCCTTGTTGAACTCAAATCCTAACATTTAATTTTTGTCCATTACTGCTCAAGTTCTGTAACAGCTTGTTGCTTTTTACACAATTATTATATCGTCTTCTACCTCCCTACGAATCCCTGTGCATGCACTTTCTCTTTTCTATTATTACCTATAAATAGTGTTGCCATCTCTAAAATTTGGAAACCAGGGCAAGACGCGTGAAAACCCCGGATTTTAGAGTCCAGAACCCGGACATGTCAACAGGTTTTTTTAAACATAGTCAGTGTAACAAAAAACAGTTGAAAATGTCATAAATCACCCTTTTATTTATTTTCAGACCTTAAAATTAAATTTAGTCATTCTTTATCATCATTTTCAATGTACCTAACAAAACAGAATCTTATTACAGTTTGTTACAAATTGTTTTAATAATCAGTTAGATTTCTTTTACGTGTGTGGCGGGCGGCCCAAGACTTTAAATTTTTAAACCAGGACTACAAATGAAGCCCCCCCCGGACGCTCCCCGGATACCCTCTAGGACAAATCCGGGGAAACCCGGACGGATGGCAACCCTACCTATAAAGCTAAAATAGACTCATGCTTTCCTTTTTTCTTCTAAACCTTAATTGCCTAGTTAATAAGTTCACCTAATTATTTTAAATTTCTCGCATTTATCCGCGCGTCTCTTTTTTGGTATACCTACTATCACGTTCTGTTTATAAGCCTCCGGGACTTTCCCTGTCTCGTATATGTGACTAACTAGCCTAAACATACTATCTGTAGCCTCTTATTCTGCATGTTTTAAATTTTCCACCTGTGTTCCATCTATACTTTTAATGCTATATTTAACTCTTTTCTCATTATGAATGAGATCAGAATAAATTACCTAAACATACAATCTCTAACACCTCCTGGCCTGCATGCTCTATGATTTCCGTCTGTATCACATCTATACCTGTCGCTCTATTATTCTTTCACGTTTTTTTAATGGTAATTGAAAGTCAAATTCTTCCTTCATTATGGGGTATCCTACTTCTTGTAGGTATCTTCACACCATCTTTGCTAACACATCTAACTCTTGAGTTACGTATAAATTTTTTCTAAATGTTCTTTCTACGTATCCTCCCCTTTTGTTCATTTTATATCGAAATGGCTCCTGCCTCGTTTGTTTTATTACCACAGTCCCTTACTTCACTAAAGTTGAGCACCATGTACATATTTTTAAATAGTGAGGACACCTCAAACTTACTCTGCTCTAGGTCTCGTTCGTATTAGTCCATTCCTATTCCACCTACGACTATAATTTATTTATCGAGAATGGCAAATGACAAAAAAAAATGCTATTTTGCTTAAAGTCAATAAAAAAATGTTGAATTTATTAAACGAACAAAGTCAGTATGATGTAGAATTACAAAAATGTGTGATTTCTTTTTCTTTGAAGAATTATATCTAAAAGTAATAGATTGAAGAAGGTGTAGGTAGGGTATTTTCAAAAATATTGGTTGGTTGTTAATCTTGTCAAGTTTTCAAACATTAATATAAGCAGTAATAAATAAATAGATTAATAAATAATTATGATTCTTTCGTCTTTTTGTTTCAGGGTCGTATTCTAGGTAGTCATCGGGGAATAGCGTCGACTGGACAGCTAGCCCCGGTTGCTAACAAAAGGTCTACACCTATTCGCGTTAGGAAAAGGGCTTCATTAAGCGAACCTGTGTTAAGCCGTAGTTCAGGACCGTATCCGGATTCAACCGACAAAGGTAAAGAATTTTTATTAAATAAGACACAACTTGAAGAGTTATCACGCACTTACTTATGCAGTAGAACTTTTGCCATGTCGATGACGTAAACGCAATCTTGCTAATTTCACAGTGCAATTCGTGATAAACACTGCCCCAAAAATACCCAATTTGTGTACCACTTCAAATGACTCAGACCATGTTATAGTCTGAGTCATGTAGAGTGCAGGAAAAAACTCTCAACAAGGTGGAATTACAACATTATTGTGTTAACCATTTGTGTCTACAAAACCTAAAATAGTTTAAAATCTTGTACGAGGCTGTTTTCAAAATATTATAAAATAGAGTGATGACCCATGAGGCAGTATTAGGTTGACGATATACTTTTTGCTAAGCCAAAGTTGTAAAAATAAAGCTTGGGCTCTGTCTGAGCCACAATAAAAAGTTTTTTGACAAAAATTTAAACTCGCAAGTTTTTCGAATGTGAAGATTCCGACATTGGCCCTTCTAGCTCCAAACGCCACGATATTGTCACCATTTAAATCATGAGGATCATTTTTAAATGGGGAAAACCTTCCAATATTAAATCGCGTTCACCTTTAACAGAATCATTTGTGTCCTCCTAATTGACAAGTCCCACCCAATATGGGTTTTAATGGTCTTCAAAACTAAATATTTAAATTACGTAATGTGGATGGTTATATTATGGAAATTCGTGTTGATGTTTGCGTGCTCATGAGGGAGGGTGAATCGCTTATGTGTGTGTGAAACAAGCTGTATATATATGTACAGTCCGTTGTTCATATCCATTCTCCCACGACCTTGTATTGTCTGTAATAATAACAATTGAAGACTGACCGGGAACGAGATAGATGGCGTACGTTCCCGTACCTATTGTTTGTCAAAATGTACATTGCAACGTGTAGATGTGTAAGAGGCCCCAGTGTGTAGACGTTAAACAATGGACGAACGTTCCGGGCGGTCATCAAATTGAAATTTCTCCAGCCCGTAGTCTTGACAACGAGTTGTTTCCGGTCGGATAAGATCATTGTCTTTTGTTTTTTGGCCTTTGTGTCGTTTCTTGGACCAAATTGCACCGATGTAGTAGGACTGGGTGGTATAAAAATTAAGAGAAAATTTGCTAACATGGAAAGATTTGTTGCCATTGTAAACAGAATTATAATAATAATAATAATAATAAAGGTTATCTTGGCTTTCTAGGAAACGATTCATACAAAAACAATTTACATTATTGATGTAATAATAATAGGTCGTTAATGCAATAACAGCGACAGCGTTTTCGTTTTCTTTTTTGATATACACATACGTGTACAACGTACATACATTTGTAACAGTGAAAGTAAATGATAATTACCACTGACACTTCCGATAAATGGGTCGTTTAGTTGTTGACCTTTGGCTCAAGTGTTACATGTGTTTGTAAGCAGTTTTTAAACTGATAACGAGCTATTTGTGTCAGCAAGACTATTTTAAATGTTTAACTTGACGTTTTTAAATTTTACTGATAAAATAATTACTGTTTTTTTGTTTTTATGTATCTATGCATGTAGAATTTTGGGGAAATTGGGATTAAAAAATGGGTCGCTAAAGGACACATGGGGTTGCTAATTTGCGAACTGATAAAACATATTTTTATATTAATATTGAATTTAATCATTATGCTGCAATTCGCCAGTGGTATTACTATGTACGTCATGGAGAATATGGATGACGACAGCGGCCATTGCTGCAATACCGTAAGCGCCTTAGTACTTTATAACTCCGGCCACAGGTGTCGCAGCGGTGAGGTTCTTAGGTTATAATAGTGACAAATATACTTCGTTTATTTTCTGTAGCGGTGTGACCTTCGGTTTGACCGGCGCAAAGTAGAAAAGAACAGCACTAGGCCAGAAAAGGAAAGAGACAACTCTCGGCCAAACTCTTAACCGGCGAGGAGCGTATAATCCGTACAGTACTACACGGAAAAATTGACCATTTTATCCACTACAATTGCATTGCTCAAATGTGCTGTTATTGGTACCATTTACTACTGAAAATATCAACGAGATATTTATTTATATTCGAACACATATTAAAGGCTTTAACCCTTGTTTTCGACTCGCACTAATATTCATGATTGAACAAAATTTTTGGCAGGTTTTTGTATGAAAAAGTATGTTTAATGAACAAGAGTCGAGAGTGTAATGAGCTTTTTTCTCCCTACCTACGATTTTGCCAGCGCAAATACAAGACATTGGAAGGGGCACATCGTTAGAGAAAGTAAATGAAGTATACTATAGATCTGTCAACAAAATCGTGTAGGAAATATGAATGAAATATGATACGAAATGCCTTACAATAATTATAAAAAAATATATTATGTTAGATTTCAAAAAGGGTAAAAATACTATCTATAGTGGAACACCTAAATAACTACAATGTTATTTGTATGTACGCAATTGTGTTCAGTGTACAAAACATGCAGGCTACTTTTAATTTTTAGTCTCTTATGTAACAAATATGTATTATATCTAATCAGAGTAAGTATGTATGTATGTACATACGTATAATGAACAAAAAAAAACACAAGTTTCGCTCTAATAACCACAAACACCATTAACTTATTGTAGCTCGTAGCTCTCATTTTAACGCCAACTCGTTTGATGCAACTTGAGGAAACTGCGTTTCTACGCCAACTACGACCGCGTTATAAGTAATCGTTTCTTTGCGGTAAACCGACAATGTTCGAAAAATTTCGTAGCTCGTTACCAAAGCGTTAAATCGTGTTTCGGTTATTTTTTTGCTTTCGTATTTTCGTGAATCGACCAAGTAATAAGTAATACTTAAACTTACTGCTTGCTTGCTTGGATTGACTCCAACGTCCGGCGTTTATTATTTTCGGCAGTGAACAACAATGAAATTACAAAATCGTGCGGATTTTGTGAAACTAATGGGTTCAATGACCCATGCGTTTGAACATGTTTAATTTGAAGCAGCGCCGTTTATCATATTATTAATAAATGTTTTGATCCAAGACAACTAAAGAGCGACTAAACGAAAAATTTTGTGAACGGTACGATCAATCGTTGTTTCAAGTAGCATTTGTCATTTGATTAACCGACTAAAAGGAGGTCACTGGACTGTTAGGGGCCAGGCCAGAGGACCGGGGACCATCTAATTTCCTGTGATTAGCAGGCGCTGCAAAATTAATTCTGTCATTACAAATCAGCTGAAAAATATGATGCAAATTTGACATTCAAGCAGTCCTATTCTTTTTCGAAATGATAGGGTCTACAAAATCAATCATTTAATAAAAATTAGCTTCAAATTACTCATATGCTAACGTGATAGACGTACTATTTTAAGGGTTTCGAAGGAAATTGTTGTATATTTAACTTTTTGTTTGAAGTCTTACTAACATAAGTTTACTGATTTGCTCTCCTAGAATATCGGGTCCATATTGTTTTCACATTCACATTATCATCATCAATTATACTGATTTCTATTGACGATATAATTAATAGAAATGCTGAGAGATCGAGAAAAACCGGGAAATTTGTCAAGTTTGTGGGAAATTTTTAAAATCGAACGATAAATGTAATATTTTTTTATACAGAACGTAAAATTTCGCTGCGCTTCTCTATGTCCTTAAAAGTGGTAGGACACGCACCTGCAGATTTTCCTATTCTGAGCTAATCTTTGCTTTTCCCTGAAATTAGAACATATCCCACATCCCTAACTATTCGTGAACAGTAATCTAATGTAGGTCTATCTCTACTCATGCTTCTAATATGTCTCTAATCTAACTAGTCCTTTAGTCCTGAGAATGGGTCCTACCAACCTATCTCGCCTATTTCTTCTATTCTATTGAGTTCCATAGTGACTTCTGTTCTCTTCTATTCCTTCTAATATTTCCACATTTTTAACCTTTTCCATCTACGGATTTTGGAAATTTTGGTAGAAAGAAACAAAAACTTAAATCGAATTATTTATTATTTTACCAATTTATTTTTTAGCTCGCCGTATGTATTTTGCATTACTTTTCACGGATTTAACTATTTTTTGCCCTTTTTCACAATTTAAAGAAGACTTGAAATTCAAACAATTTTCCTCAAAATTAATTCTAATCATTAACTCTGCTTTTATCTAATCCATGCACATTCGATTCCTTTCTTTTGCGTAAAGATTGTTCAGTAAAGTAAACATTCTTCCACAATAAGCATTGCTTACTGGAATGGACAGCACGAAACACATAATTTTTTTGTAAACTCTTTTGTAAATCACCTACTAATAAAATATGCTCATATTTTGTCATTGAGAATTCGAAACTTAAAATTACTAGTTTATAAAATGAAGTTGTTTTTCTGGAGATTTTATACTTCGTCGGGAGTCGGAAGGACATACAAAAATAGCATCCGCTAAATCCCGACCATCTAGGAACCCTAAGAACAGGTCCGCGCTCCAGGCATGCACCTTTAACAATTAATTGAAAAACGGATTGATTTTGTTTGCCATGAGTATGCTAGACCAAAACAACTTGACCGGGAAAGCTAAGAAAAGTAGCCGGGAAAAGCCTAGAATTTTTTTCTGGTTTGGCGCTAGACAAGTTAGGTGGGTATGTCACTGATAAAATGTCGTAACCTTTGCAAGAATAGCTACATAATTTGTTTATTTATAACTGATAACCGTGAGCTAGGTATGCCGACAGTCATGTCTATTAAAAAAAAAAAAGAAAAGATAAGATTTAAAAATCGAAAGAATGCGGACAGTTTGTTGGCCCGTTGCCCTCACTTTTGTATTTATATGCGTACATATGTGTACATGTACATTGTTTATGTATAGTTAATGCATCCGTTTAATGACGGATAGTTAGTTAGGTTAGTACATAAGCAGTGCCACAGTATATAACGATTAATTAATTGGTCTACCGAAGCCCGCGTGTGGGTGCCGCTGCTATGTATCATTATGTAGAAAGGTGCGAAAGGTTTTCACGTTGTCGGAATGATTTTCCTTCTATATTT